TTTTGAGATTTCCTTTCCAAAAATATATATTAAGGGCATATGCTAAATTTCAAAAAGAAAAAAAGAAAAGGGACAAAAACAAAATTTAATAATTAAACGACCCAAAACCCTGTGTACGGGGTTTCCCCCAAAAAAAACGTGCCTGGTATTGAGTGGGGAGTTATTATTAAAAACAAAAAGATTATTTTCATTGAAAGGGGGAAAAATGTCTCAAATTAAAAAAACAAAAGGGAAAAACCCAGGGCCGGGTGCCGTGAAAAGTTGTATTCAGTTACCCGTAACGTAATAACCCCGGGGAAAGACAAAAAAATTTTGGGGAGTTCTTTTCTGTAATTTTAAAAATTGTTTTTTTTTTTAATTTTGGATTTTTTTTTTGTTTAATTTTTTTTTATTCAATGAGATATGATTGTGCAAAAACATTTTGTAAATTTTAAAATTTTTTTATGCAAAAGGGACATTTTAAATATCCCCCCAGTGCCAAAGAAAATATTGGACCCAATTCCCCGTACATGCGCCCGGAAAAATTTTCGACCCCAACGTTTGCCTGACCCGTTGTATCCCTCTTTCCCCAAAATTTCCCTTCTACAGAGCAATTTTGGCATTTTAAAAAAAGCCCTTGTGGACCTTTAACTTGCCCCTTGCCCCTTTTAAAATTCTGTTTTGGTTTGTTTTTTTCCACACACCCGTTTAGCGCCAGTATGGAGATACTGAGTGGGAGAAAAAATTTCCGCGGGGTAAGGTAGGTTTAAAAATTTGGTTGGGGATTATTAAATTCCCTTGGGGGCCCTTTCTTGTTTAAAAAAACATTTCCATTGACGGGAAAACTTTACTAAGTTTGGGGAAATTTGGCCTTTTTTTCTTTTTTAAAATTTTTGGGAGCGGGTTAAAAAGTGACGTTCAAAAACCCGTAAAATGTTTTTTTTTTTCAAATTCCATTTTAACTAAAGGGAGGATTTGTTTTATAAAAGTTTTCTCTTTGGGGGTCCGCAACCCAAATACTTGGGGTTTTTTTCTTAAAATTTTTACGGTTAATTGATCAGTAAAGAAAAATGCTGCGTGTGGGCGATACTTTTTTAAATGCTGCGTCGAGGCAAAATACCATAAAGGGGCTCATTTGACGGAAAACAAGAAAACTTTTATCAATTCTTCTTTCGTTGTTCCTTTTAGTCGGTATTGGACGTTAAACATCTTTTCTAATATTTTCTAAAGATAAAAAGGTTTTTAAAATGCATATGTGCTTCGAAAAAGTTTTTTTAGAAACACGCAGTTACCTAAAATGTTATGATTCAGTAACCAAATTTCATTAAAAAAAGCAAATAAATAAAAAATTCATTTTTCTATATTCATGCATGATGTGTGCTTGATCTGTTGTGTCTGTCAGTTACTTTTGACTATTTTTCTTCTAATGTCAATTTCTCATAAACTGTCAGAGTTGATCACTTCAAATTTGGAATACTTTTTCAGTTTTTAATTTGAAATGCATTTCAAAATAGCAGATAACTTTTAATTTATTTTGTCTGAGTTGCGCCCCCTTTTGACTTTGTAAAAAGTAGAAAAAAATTTACTTTAAACTTTAAGTACTTGTTTATAACAAATTAAAAAAAAGGGATCATTTTGGGGTTGCCGTGTTTGTGGGTGCGAGCCCCGGGGTTTTTTTTTTGTTTGGTTTTTTGGGTTTTTGTTGTTTTTTTTTGGGGGGGGGGGTTTTCCTGCCCCAAAAAAAAGTTTAAACGCGCTGTTTGCGAAAAGGTTTTTTTTTTTATATTTTGCAATTTGCTTCCCCCCCTCCACTTGGGAAAGTTTAATTTTTTTAGAATTATAAAGATGTGAATTTTCAATTTAAAAGCAAAAAGTATTCCTTCATTTTTTAGGAGCCCAAAAAAGTTTTAAAATATTTTACAACATTGAAAAAGCTTCGGGGAAGATTATCTTATCACAAATGATTCCCGGTAAAAATTTTTTTATTTCCCCAAAATTAACACATGGGGAATGTAATTTTTTTAAGTTTTTAATGCAAAAGAAAATTAAATAGAAATTAAAATTTCCCTTTTTCCATAATATTTCCGGGGAGGGGTCCCAGTAAATTTTAGCACGAAGTTTACCCCTCTTGAATTTAAATTTAAAGGTATTTTCGCTCATTCAGTTTGGGGAGGCCGGGTTTTACACAAACCCATTTTTTTTTTTTCGTTCCCTTTTGCTAATTTTGACGAAGAAAAAGCCCCTGGTGGTTGGGGCAGAAAATAGAAACGGGAAAAACCCGGGATTTCTTTTTGAAATTTCGTCAACAAGACAAGAAATTTCAGCACTAAGAAAGAATTTCAAAAAGGAAAGTAACTACAACTTAGTTTTAAAAAGGAAAAAATTAAAGATCTAAAACCAAAAAACGTTTTTAAATTTTAAGAAAAAAGGGACAAATTTTAATTTAACACCGAGTTGAAAAGGTTTTCCAAAAAAGCTGGGTTTTTGGGTTTTTGAGGGAATAAAGAAAGATTTTTTTATGGACTTATTTAAAAAAATTGGGAACCAAAATTTTGTAAAAGTATAAACTTTACGTATTTGCAAAATTTGTAACCCGGCTTGGGGGGGACTGTAAGATTTACCAAGCTAACCCCATAGCTTTGCGACGGGGATAAGCTAAATTTTCAAGGGCCGAAAATAGGCTTCAACGGAAGCGCCCCTTTTTCTAAAAAGTAAAAACCTCCCTCTGCACTGTTTTGTGTTCAACGGGAACCCACTGTTAAAGGTCATTTCCTTTCCTTTTTAAAACGACCTATGTTTCAGCAAACCCTTTTCCCGTCAAATCCTTTCGAGGTTACCAAAAGGAGCATCCCGGGGGTCCGTTTTTTCCGGGACAAATTTCCATTGCAACAGGATCATGTTTTTGGCCTGTGGAGACTTCCGTCATTTCCGGAAAAGATTGTCCCGATGTTGTTCAAAGCAGGAAGATGGAAAGTTGGAGAACAGTTCAACGCCAAAAGTAATTCAGATATGAAAGATGAGTATAATTTTGACTACGAACGTTTTTACCAATGAATTACTATGAATACGAAACAAGGTCAAAAACATATATTGCTTAAAGGCAGATTAAAGAAAAAATTACATTTTTGGGGAAGGGAATTAAATCGCAGTAGTTTTTGTATTTAGATTTGATAGAATTTGGTTATCAAATTCCCTTTTTACAAACTGTGCCTCCAAGAAAGTTTTGTAAAAAATAACAAGTCTGCATTACAGGAATCTGAATTTGTTTGTGAAGCTATTAATGATTTGTTAGATAGAGCATTGATAGAAAAATGTGATTTACCTCCATATATAGTTAATCCATTGACCGTTTCTATTCAAAGTTCCGGGGAAGCAAAAGATTAATTCTTGACTTAAGAGTTGTAAATAAACATTTATGGAAACAGTCATTGAAATATGAGGATATTAAAGTTGCTTTAGCTTTTTTTACATAAAGATTATTTTATGATAAAATTTGATCTCACTAGTGCGTATCACTTTGTTGAAATTTTCAAGCCACATACTGAGTTTTTAGGTTTTTCTTGGAGAGATTCTTCTGGTAATATTTCATATTATAAATTTTTGGTTCTGCCTTTTGGTCTTTCTTCAGCTTGTTACAAGGCCGCTTATCTCAAAGTGGAGGGGTGAAGGGCAAGTTTGTTACTATGTTTTTTTTGGATGATGGTTTTTGTTGTAATACCATTCATATGAGAGTACGTTTAAAGTTGGCGCCCGGAAATAAAGCATGATTTATTGTCTTTTCGGGGTTTATACCTAATGCAGAAAAAGTCGGAGGTGTGGTTCACCGGTTAAAAATTTGGTTTTTTTAGGTATTTTGGTTAAATTCTAAATGACGGCAGGATTTTTGTACCCGTAGAAAAATAGCTCAAGGTCAAAAATGACAATAGGCCGATTTTTTATCGTCGCTTTAAAGTACACAAGACGCGTAGGCGTGAGAAAATGAGGGCCCGCTTAGTTTAGGTCAAATTTTTTCAATTTATTACATGCTTTTCGGTGGGGTTTTATAGAAATATATCAGATACATTTTCAATGGTACCATTTGCTTGCAAATCAGAGAGTAAAAATGGTTTTCGAGAGACAATTCAGGGCGTAAGTTTCCCTAGTTTCTATAAGGTTCTATGAACATCAAATTTTATCAATTTTTGGCTTTTTAAAAATTTTATGATAAAAATTTGGGTTTTTTTTGGATATCGGAAAAAGGAAACCCCGTTATGAAAAAAGAGGAAAACTATTTTTTGTCTAGAATTTTTTTACTATTTAAAGATTGGGGTATTTTAAACCCTACTTGCGGGTTGCTCTGGGAAAAAGAAAATGGGATTTTTAAATAGAATTGGTTTTCTTGGGGGTAAAGTAAAGTTTTTTTTTTTCCGTTTTTTGGGAAACCTTCGGGTTTTTGGGGGGGTTTTGGGTTTTACCGTTTTTGGGGGGGGTGTTTTCCCGTTTTTGCCACCCCAAAAAGTTTTTTACAAGTCTAAGAAAAAAAGTCTGTTGATAAGGGAAAGGGGTTTTTTTTACCTTTTGGGAAATCCGCCTTTTTTGGGCCCCTTTTTTTGGCCCCATGGACAGTTTAAAAAAAGCCCTTATTTAATTTAAAAGATTTTTCCCGTATTTAAAAATATTTTTTAAGTGGGAAAAATTTGGGAAAAGGGAATTTTTTGGAAAAGGAAACTAAAATTTCAAAGTTGGAATTTTATGTTATTTTAAAATTTTTTGGTTTAAAAATTTATAAGGCGGGATCGCCAACCAAACAGTTTTGATAGCCATTTGGGGTCAGCGGCCCTTTTTACTGCGGGACGCTTTTGTCAAGGTTTTTTTAATTAATGATTGTTTTTTGCTGTTTTTTAGGGTGAAAAATGTTTTATATTTTCTTTTATTAAAAATGTTTTTTTTGTTTACAAAAAGATGAAGGTTCCGGAAGTCCTTGGGGGGATTCCCGGGTTTCTCATTGTCACGTTTGGCTGGCACCCATCGGAAGTACGAGTATGGATTTAATCGATGGAGAAAGTGGGCTCTTAGTAACGGTTTGGGGAGTGGGGATATTTTACCTGCCAGTGCATTTCCGGTTGCACTGTAAATCTTTAATTCAGTCTGCAAATAGTGCAAGTCCAGTGATTAGTGCTTATTATTCTTTAAAACGGTTTCATGATATTAATGGTGTGCGTTCTCCATCCAGTTCTTCTTTAGTTACCAATATCCTTGAGGCAGCTAAAAGAATTTTAGCAAAACAAACAGTTAAGAAAGAAGTTATGACTGTAGACATTCTTTCCGCTATGTACGATAGGTTGTTTAAGCCTTACGGTTTAAAACATCAGCGTATAATTTGTGCTAGTGTTTTGGGGTTTTCAGGTTTTTTACGAAGCGCTGAATTGTTGAACATTGTTGTTTCAGATCTAGTATTTTATCCAACTTTTTTGGCACTTTTTATTGAAACTAGTAAGACAGATAAATATAGAGATGGTTCTTGGATATTGATAGCTAGAACTGGTACCAAGTTATGCCCAGTTGTTAATCTTGAAAAATATAAAAGATGGGCTAATTTAGATTCAAGTGATTTTTTGTTTTGTAATATTAGTAAGACTAAAAATGGATTTAAGAAAAGGACAGTTAATAAGCCAATGTCATATACTAATTTGAGAGATGAATTTAGATTAGCTTTCATGCCGCATGTAAGTGACATTTCTAAATATTGCCTGCATTCGTTAAGGGCAGGTGGAGCTTCAGCGGCGGCAAATAATGGAATTAAAGACAGAATGTTTAAACGTCATGGTCGCTGGACAAGCGAAAGTGCTAAAGACGGTTATGTTAAGGATAATTTAAGAGAACGTTTGTCAGTGTCTTTAGGATTGTGAATGATTGTCATATTCTTTAATATGCATAAATATGTTAGGTATATTTAATTTATAAGCTAAAGTTTGATTTATAGAATGCATTAATGCTTACCCGCTCTTTGAATTCAGCCGGTTGTCCAAGTGCTACATACAAATTACAAGTTTAGTAATTCATTTTATTTGTTTGTCTTTATTTCGGAAATATGGTGGTTGAAGGGAAATGTAATTTTCTAAGTTTGAATGCAATGAATAAGTAGAAAATTAATTTCCCTTTGTCCGATATATATTTCCGATAGGTGTCGCCATTATTATGATGCACGAAGTTTACGTGCTTGAATAAGTAAGTGTATATCGCTCATTCAGCTTTGGGCAGCCGGCTATACACAAACGTATTTTTTTAGGGTAATATTCTATTGTATTTCATAAGAGTATTCAGTGGATTTTGATATAAGATCATGTTTCATATACGGTATATTAATCTTATAGTCAAATATAATAATGTATTCATTAATTATGAATTATGTAAATGTGAATATATTGTACCGGTTCAGCCGGTTGTCCAAGTGCTACATACAAATTACAAGTTTAGTAATTCATTTTATTTGTTTGTCTTTATTTCGGAAATATGGTGGTTGAAGGGAAAATAGAATTCACGAAATAAAGATTGCTCAATGAGCACTTCTCACATAGTCAACATTTTTAACAAAGCTCTACAAGACACTAAGTACACAGTAAAAAATCACAGTGAACATTTCAAACACAGTGAACACTAGCTACTCAATGACCAGTATCCATACTATGAACATGACTCACTGAGCATTATCCACACAGTAAACACTACTCACTGTGTATTATCCACACAGTAAACACTACTCACTGAGCATTATCAACTTATTAAACACTATTCACTGTGCATTATCCACAAAGTAAACACTACTCACTGTCCATTATCCACACATTTAGCACTACTCTCACTAAGCATTATCCACACAGTTAACACCATTCACTGTGCATTATCCACACAGTAAACACTATTCACTGTGCATTATCCACACAGTAAACACTACTCATTGTGCATTATCCACACAGTAAACACTACTCACTGTGCATTATCCATACAGTAAACACTACTCACTGAGCATTATCAATACAGTAAACACTACTCACTGTGCATTATCCACACAGTAAACACTACTCACTGTGCATTATCCACACAGTAAACACTACTCTCACTAAGCATTATCCACACAGTTAACACTACTGCATTATCCACACAGTAAAAACAAACTCACTGTGCATTATCCACACAGTAAACACTACTCTCACTAAGCATTATCAATACAGTCAACACTACTGCATTATCCACACAGTAAAAACAAACTCACTGTGCATTAGCCACAAAGTAAACACTACTCATTTTGCATTATCGACGCAGTAAACACTATTCACTGTGTATTATCCACACAGCCAACACGACTCACTGTGCATTATCTACACAGTAAACACTACTCACTGAGCATTATCCACACAGTAAACACTACTCACTGAGCACTATCCACACCGTAAACACTACTAACTTTGCATTATCGACACAGTAAACATTATTCACTGTGCATTATCCACATAGTAAACACTTCTCACTGTGCATTATCCACACAGTAAACACTACTCACTGAGCATTATCAACTTAGTAAACACTACTCATTGTGCATTATCCACACAGTAAACACTACTCACTGAGCACTATCCACACCGTAAACACTTCTCACTGAGCACTTTCCACACCGTAAACACAACTCACTGAGCATTATTCACACATTGAACACTTCTCACTATCCATTATCCACATAGGAAACACTACTCACTTAACATTATCCACATAGTGAACACTACTCACTGAGCATTATCCACACAGTAAACACTACCACTGTGCATTATCCACACAGTAGACACGATTCACTTAGCACTATCCACACTGTAAACACTACTGCATTATCCACACAGTAAACATTACTCACTAAACAATATCCACACAGTAAACACTACTGCATTATCCACACAGTAAACACTCCTCACTGTGCATTATCCACACAGTTAACACTTCTCACTGAGCATTATCTACACATTAAACACTACTTACTGAGCATTATCCACACAGTCAACACTACTCACTGAGCATTATCCACTCAGTAAACACTACTCACTAAGCATTATCCACACAGTAAACACTACTGCATTATCCACACAGTAAACACTACTCACTAAGCATTATCCACACAGTAAACACTACTCATTAAGCATTATCCACACATTAAACACTACTCACTAAGCATTATCCACACAGAAAACACTACTCACTAAGCATTATCCACACAGTAAACACTACTCACTAAGCATTATCCACACAGTAAACACTACTCACTAAGCATTATCCACACAGTAAACACTACTCACTAAGCATTATCCACACAGTAAACACTACTCACTGAGCATTATCCACACATTAAACACTACTTACTGAGCATTATCCACACATTAAACACTATTTACTGAGCATGATCCACAAATTAGACACGGCTCACTGAGCACTTTCCACACAATCGTTGCTCACTGAGAACTATCCATACATTACTCACTCATCGAAAATTAGTCACTTACCAAAAGTCATTCCGTATACATTACAAACTGGTCATATCAAAAGGAGCATTACTCACTGAACACCTAGATTCTACATAGGTCTATTTTATGGAAAATATATGGGATAAATTTTGATCAAACATTTATGGATGGTGATCAAGAATAGAGGGTTTTGCCACTTGTAACTATTGCTTTATTATCGGTCCTGCAGCGTTTTGGAGGACGACAATTTTGTGGGTCAGTGTTTTATTCATTGGTTAATGCCTCTAAGATAAACTGTTTGTAATACAGGTTGTGAAGAAGAAGAATTATTCTTTATTTTCCAGTATCATTACCGGTAATATAATATATCATCGGCCCTGAAATCATTTTGTTCATGCAGCTAGAAATATACAAAACATATTTTAGTGCAAGACGAAAAAATATTCTTGTTTACAGGGATATTGCAGTACGATACTCACGAAATATGGTTTGCGATTATTTCGTGAAATATTTGTTTATTAGACTTTTTAAAAAAATCGATGAAATATTTGTTTATTATACACTTTTAAAACATTCGGTGAAATATTTGTTTTTTATACACTTGTGATGATGATAATGCTGCTGCTGATGATGATAATGATGATGGTGATGAAGATGGCAGTTGTGGTATTAACGAGACCGTCATTAGGTTATTTTTTTTATATAAATTTTATCTAAATAAACGGTATTTTATTTAAGTAAAAATAATCCATTTGTGACATATACGTTGGTATTTCCACTTTTAATGGGCATTTTTGGTAAGTGACAAATACGTTTTCATGAGCGCAGATACACTCAATCCAACCATGGCAAATTTATGTTCCATTTTCGGCCATGTTCGACCGAATATGTCACACATGTGACAAAGTCGAACCGAATATGTCACACGTGTGCAATATTCGGTCCGTGACATATACGGTCTGACAGGCGGTCATAATTATATGGGGTCACTAAACTTCGTTACAACGGAATAAATATGGTTTTAACTATTTTCATGACGTAGTTGTATATACACGAACGACATTCACGATACTCTAAATCTGCATCAATACCAACAATTAATGCATGTTGATAAGGGGCATATCAATCACATTTTTAAGTCTAATCAACTGCATTAAATTTAGAAAATGATCAAGCATATCTATCATTTAACACATAAGGAGTACCCCCAGTAGTAAACCTATAAAAGTCACACTCGAGATTTTTCACTATTTTTCTCTAAAGTGCCTACTTTTTCTTGTAAAAGCAAAGTTTGATTTCGGAGCCGTTTCGTGATCAATTTACAACCTATTGTTCATCTTACAGATAGCATTTAAATGTTGATCAGTAAGTGAATTAAAATAATCAAACCTTCATAATAACAAAAAAAAAAACACACGTTATGCTCATTGTGAGACCTGCCCTAAATGACGTCAGTATGGGCGCCGCCATTTTGAAATGGCCGTCACGTTAGGTTATAACGTAAATCAACGGAGAAAAATAACATTTTAACTATATTACTGACTTTTCAAAAAAAGAGAGAAAAACCTACAAATATTGACTCCAGGCTTAACATGACATTTATTTAAATGAGTTTATGATTATATTTGACAAAAAAAGAAATGTTCAAATTTTGTGGGACAGACTATAGTGACGTAAATAGTGACGTCGTACGCAGCGTTATATTTGCATCTTAGCAACAGGCGTTATTGGCGCATTTTACAGTATAACATGTAAATGTAATTTTTAAATATGGAAGAAACAGATTCACATCAAGACGAAATGTGCATCCAGATAAATGTCCAGGGGACTGGTGAGATTTTAATCTAATTAAATCTTTTTTCTTCAAATAAATTTATTGCACTAAAAACTATTTGAAATAAACAAATGGACCCAAAACTTATAAAGGAATGTGTACGTACTTGAATAAGTTTAGTTATTTTGTATTGATAACGCCATAAAGTATTACATGTATATGGCATACAATATATGACAATGTTATATTTTTATACTATATATTCAGTTTTCAAAAAATATAAGTTTTTTTTTTAACTAAGGTTGGGTAAATATATTCATTAGGTTTAAACTCTTAAATTATACAACATACAAAGAAACTAAGAAGCATTTTCAAATACATTTCTTTTTTCCTTTATAAATTTTTAAAAGGTAAAACATTGAATATATTCACTTGAAAGAAAAAAATAACAATTTTTTTTAAAGTTATGCCTTTATGTAGTTATTATACATTGTGCAATACAGAATACTATTAGACGAGAACACATCTGTCAAATCTATATTGCACGAGGCACAAGCCGAGTCTGATAACAGGCGAATAGAATAAGACTTAGTATTGTTTTTAATGATCGCTTTATTTCACTTCACTATTTTTGACATTTTGACGCAACCTTGTTAATTCAAGGGCATAAAGGATTTGATATTGATTTTTGAACTCGATAATAATGAAAACGATAACATAATTGGATCTAATACTAATTAGAAAAATCACGTGGTACAAATGCTTAAAATTTACTTTACTGATTATATCTTATATCTTATAAAATATATTGATATTTGTTATAGAAATAGATATATTGATATTTGTTATAGAAATGCCAGAAGAACACAATGCAATTATGATGTCTGAAAATAGGAAGAAACCTAGAAAAAGGAAACGATCTCAAAAACAATTGGAACGTTGGATGAAATATCGCGAGAAAAAATATAACGAGAAGGTACTGAAGAAAGAAAGCATTCCCAACGACAATAATTCATCGTCAAATATAAACCAAAAGTTTTATCCATCTACAGCCCAGAATAGCCTTGACTTACCTGCACAAAAGGCCATATCTGTTGCTAATATATGTTTGCAAACCGCCATTTCAACTGAAGCAACAAAGACAATCATATCTAATTTAAGACCAGAAGCCCCGGAGTTTGTGCCTCGTTCAATGGCTATAAAAGTTGTTTCAGAGCATTCAAATCAAAACATAGCCGATGACGGACAGAAAAGTGAAAACAATAAGGCCAACTTTGTGGACAATGATATGGCAAGCTATATTGACGACAATATGGTAAGATATGTTCAAAGTAATATGGCAGTCTATGTGGACTCCAATATGACAAGCTTTATGGAAAACGATATGATTAGTTCTGTGCACAACGATATAACAAGGTCTGTAAAAAACGAAATGGCAAACAATGTGGACAACAATATGTCAAGCTCTCTGGTCAACGATATGATAAGCAACATAAACAACGAAATGGCAGGTTATGTGGGAAACGATATGGCAAGATCTGTGGACTACAATATGACAAGCTCTGTAGGCAACGATATGGCAAGTTCTGTGGACAACAATATGCCAAGTTCTGTGGAAAACAATATGACAAGCTCTGTGGACAGCGATATGACAAGTCGTGTGGACAACGATATGCCAAGCTCTGTAGATAACGATATGTCAAGCTCTTTAGACAACGATATGCCAAGCTCTGTGGACAACGATATGCCAAGCTCTGTGGACAACGATATGCCAAGCTCTGTAGACAACGATATGCCAAGCTCTGTGGACAACGATATGACAAGCTCTGTAAACAACGATATGCCAAGCCCTGTGGACAACGATATGTTAAGTTCTGTAAACAACGATATGCCAAGCCCTGTGAACAACGATATGCTAAGTTCTGTAAACAACGATATGCCAAGCCCTGTGAACAACGATATGCCAAGCTCTGTAGACAACGATATGCCAAGCTCTGTTGACATCGATATGCCAAGCCCTGTGTACAACGATATGACAAGTTCTGTGGACAGCCATATAAAAATTTATGTAGACAACGATATGTCAAGTTGTTTGGACAACAACATGCCAAGCTCTGTAGATAACGATATGCCAAGCTCTGTGGACAACGGTATGACAAGCTCTGGAGACAACAATATACCAAGCTATGTAGTTAACGGTAGGACAAGCCCTGTAGGTAACAACAATGTGCCAAGCCCTGTGGACAACATTATGCCAAGCCGTGTGGACAACATTATGCCAAGCTCTGTGGACAACGATTTGCCAAGCTCTGTGGACAACGATTTGCCAAGCTCTGTGGACAACAATATGGCAAGTTCTGTGGACAATGATGTGACCAGCTCTCTAGTCTACGATAGGATAATCACTATAAACAACGATATAACAGGTTTTGTGGAAAGCCATATGCCAAGCTCTGTGGACAACGATATGCCAAAATCTGTGGACAACGATATGACAAGTTCTGTGGAAAACGATTTGGTAAGCTCTGTGGACAGCGATATGACAAGTTCTGTGGAAAACGATATGGCAATCTCTGTTGACAACAATCTGGCAAGCTCTCTGGTCATATTTCTGTTTTATTATCTGGATTGTTATATGACAAGCTTTTTGGGAAACTATATGGCAAGCCTTGTTGACAACGAGGTGGTAAGCTCACTGGCCAACGATATAGCAAGGTCTGTGGACAACAATATGGCAAGCTCTCTGTATAACTATATGGCAACTTCTGTGGCCAGCGATAAAGAAAGCTCTGTGGCAACCAATATGACAAGCTCTGTTCGTAAGGATGATGCAAATTCTACTGATAACGATATGGCAAGCTCTTATGACAACAATATGACAAGCTCTCTGGTCTACGATATGGAAAGCTCTATGAACAACGATATGGCAAGCTCTCATGGCGACCATAAAGCAATGTATGCTGGAAACAATATTGCAGGCTGTCTGGACAACAGTATGACAAATCATGTAGACTACAATATGACAAGCTCTCGGAACAATGATACAGTTGGCTCTGTGGACGGTGATATGGCAGGTCCCCTAGACAACAAAATGGCAAACTTTGATGACAACAATATGATTGGCTCTGTGGAAAACGATATTGCAAGTTCTATTGACGTCAACATGGGACTCTTTGTTGACAAAAATATGACAATCTTTTTAGAAAACAATACGAAAAACTGTGTGAATAACAATATGACAAACTCTGTGGACATCAGTATGTCAAGCACATTGGACAACGAAATGACAAGATCTGAAGAAAACGATATGGCAAGATCTGTGAACAAAGATATGGTAAGCTCTGAAGACATCGATATGACAAGGTCTGTGAACAAAGATATGGTAAGCTATGTTGGCATCAATATGGCTAGATCTGTGAACATAGATATGGTAAGCTCTGAGGGCATCGATATGGCAAGCTCATTAGACAACGATATGGCGAGACCTGTCAACAATTATGTTGTTAGCTCTCCTAACAACGATATGGCGAGCTCTCTGGACACCGATGTTGTAAGCTCTGTTGAAAACAATACGGCAATCTTTTCGGACAGCGATTTGACAGGATCTGTGGACAACGATATTGCAGGCTGCCTTGACAACAAAACGACAGGCTCTGTGGGGAACAATTGTGCAAGCCTTCTGGATAGCATTGTATTAAACTCCGTTGAAACAGACTGTGGTGTTGACTCTCGTTTAGAGCCTGCCGAAAGTTTTATTGGTGTTGAGGATGACGATACTTTATCTGGAATATTATCAATCTACGTTAACAGTGAATTACATTGTGCAATTGATAAGGTAGGTTCATTGCAAATTAATTTGTACATTGCATTAATGACAAAAGATGTAAATAAGTAAGCCTCCTAAAACATAAATCCAACATTTTTATATGAACTAATATATAATTATGTTCAGTCTAAATGGCTTTTTGCATAATTTATACAACTGTGGCACGATTTGTTTCTCTACCGTAACTAGTGAATTTTATTTTTGTTTATTTAAATTTCAATGGATAGAAGTATTAAAATAGCTGACAGCAAATTTTCTTCTGGTTCATTTGCAGGAAGCACTCTGTGAGCAAATTGCTGAAGCTGAGGAATTCGGATATATGTACTTTTCTTTTTCGAATTTGTGAATAAAATCATTTAATATACATGTACATAAACTTGTTTTCATCCTTGACATTATTTTAAAGATCATGTAGTGGTAAAAATCTGGAAACAAAGTGATCCCTCGGAAGCATTAAGCACAACAAAATTACATAAGAATTGCAGACTCGGTTTGATTGAGTCTGTACATGAGGGATAATGAATAAGTGCAACATCCCTCACGCCCTCTAGCACCGGCTTGAGCGGTACTCAATTCTCAACACTTAATAGTGCTGGCATCAATGATCCCGAAGGACCAGAACACTGAGTGAAATTATATATGTGTACATAATTATGCAAAGAAAACAATTTTCAAACATCGAAGAATATATAAAAAAGTACTGCAAATATTTGTCCATATTATATGTAATCACTCCGTGGTCGAGGGGTTAGAGTCGATGACTTCTAATCCAGTTACCTCTCTGGCGTGGGTTGGATCCCCGGGAGATGCTTTGGTAGTTTAGCGCGGAGAAAGATAGTCTAGTACTGGTGTAACTCTCCAGGAACGATGGTTAGGAAACTACCCGCCTATATGACTGAAATACTGTTGATAAAGGCGTAAAATGAAACAAACAAACAAAAGTAATCATTAGAATATATGCATTCATTTCTTATTGAAAAATTTGACTTAAACTTTATAGAAAATAAAATTTATATTACCTCCCTTTATTTACATGAAATGTTAAATTCGGTAATATCAAATTAAGATTTACCAACATTGTAGGTTCCAAAAAGCATTATTTATAAAGATATTACCTCCCTTTATTTACATGAAATGTTAAATTCGGTAATATCTTTATAAATAATGCTTTTTGGAACCTACAATGTTGGTAAATGTTAATTTGAGCATCATATTTATGATTTAAAACCATAAAAAATGTGTTATGTACAGGATATTTTAAATACTCGTTAACCTGCTAAAATCTATAGTGACTTGCCTTTGTCACCAGTATCTTTCAGTCTGACCACGCTCTATACTCGTGGTAACTCGTATCTTGTATCTTGACATTGAAATCTCATGTCTATTCTAAATTGAAGGTGAATGCATTGCAGATATTCATCATTTTTTTATTTCATTACGAAGTAATTTTTCTGAAGGGAGATAATTCAATATAAGGTTTAAAGACAATCTACAACCAATGGCGTTATTAGGTTTCATTAAAGATATGTTCAACATAATAATAATAATAATGTCTCTTTTCCTTTTTACACATTACTAATCTTCTTCTTCTATATTTTGATTTTGAATGCGAATTTAAAAAGGCTCCTGTGTAGTACACATTTAACCCATCCTCCACTGTACGGGACATCAATCTTGTTTTTGCGCTTGTAAAACCTAATATTGAATTATCTCCCTTCAAAAAAAGTACTTCGTAATGAAATGAAAAATGATGCAAATAAAAAAACGTTTCAAGTTCTAAAATGATTTGATATCAGTAAGTAATTAGTCATTTATATAAAGAATGTATTAAAATTTATTCATGACGAATGGATTATCAAACTAATGAAAACGCGGATATCGCCGAAAGAAGGAATTAAATTTGTGTTCGATAGCTGAAATTTAAACTTTTGACCGGGATCGCGTGCAATGCATTGATAATGAGATCGGTTGTCACGCCTCGGTGACTCTCTTTGATCGGATTCTCTGTAGAAAAATACAATTTTCAGCGTTAAAAGGCGGATCGATAAGTTTTGAAATACATGTATATATGCCTCGGAGCGCCAGACGCGGGACAAATAGTTCTGTCACGGAAGTCTGCGAAACACATGTTACTTTACAAGTTTAGTACTATAAACACGGATTCGTTTCGGTGAACAGACTGTCTCTAAAATTGGATAATTTGTCACATGTTACTATCTGCTCTGTTGGATGAGATACAATGTATTTTTATTATCACTTTTATACACGCTACACTGAAAGTGGAATCGTGTTGCTTTAAACGTTTCAAATCTACGTACGGCTACATGTATTAAACCGTTTGAATAAACGCTGCTAGACAAAATATAACGTATCGTGTTTTTATTTTTATCTAAAGGTTTTAAATACTTAATGTTTTATCTGTTAAATAAGATAGTGAAGGGGATTAATTTCGGAGCTACTTTTTAGATAACAGCCTAGCATAAACACATAACGTACATACCTTAATTGACGAGAATAGGACGATATCGAGAAGCGGAATTTCCACACCGCAGTGACCTATAAAATTACAAGGTAATGTTTATACTACCTACCTTTTCTACTGTCCGTTTTTTTAATCTTAAGTTTGCGTTCTTTGTCAAGTTTTATTTACATTACTCGTGCCATAAAGTTGTTTAAGCATTTAACATGTAGACAGTACTTTTACTAGCGGAGTATTTACGGTGATATCGAGTTACTATACAATTGTTGTATCATTACTTCGGGGGATGTAGTATTCATTTTATGTTACTTCAGGTATCTATTTATAAAAAGAGACGAATTTTACACATTGTGATCTCAAAGTGTGATGATTTCATCTTGATATTTTAACATGATTTGTTACTGATATAATATCAGTGTGAATTGGAATGTTACAGATTATATGAAGTAAGGTATGTTTTCTTTTTATTGTCTTTATTTAATTTATCGTTGTTGTTGTTGATGATTATAATGATAATGATAAAGGTGATGGTATTTTGTCTTATAGTGTTGGTTATAGCTTTTACTTATTAAAATGACAGTCTATGATGTATAAAAAAGAGAATTATGTATTTGCCATTACCTGGGCTAAGTCACGCGTATTTATTTAGGCATTGGAGACAATGTAGCGGAAACAATGTACATTTTGTATATGAAACAAATATAGGAAACAATATATATGAAACAATGTATAGGAAACAATGTATAGGAAACAATATATAGGAAACAATGTATAGGAAACAATATATATGAAACAATGTATAGGAAACAATATATAGGAAACAGTGTATAGAAAACATGGTATAGGAAATTTGGTATAGGATACAATTTATTATAGGAAAAAATATACAGGAAACATGGTATAGGAAACAATGTATAAGAAAACATGTATAGAAAACATGTTATATGGTATAGAAAACAATGTTTAGTGCCCTGGTATTAGGACACGAACTCAAGGTTCGAGAATCGATTGCCTGACACCGTTACCACTAGGCGACTGATCATGGATATTTTACAATGATGAACATACAAAATATATCTGTATCTTAGCTTGTTATAAAGGTAACAGACACATATGTAAACGACCTTGTCATGTTCATCTAGTAAAGGACGGACGTACGAAATAAAAATACGAATAATGGTACAGAAATGTTAAGCTCATAAAACTATTCTAACTTTTAGCATATTTATTCTTTCATGCCTTATACAAATTAAAAAACGTTTACAACTTAAACTTAATAACTTTATAAACTAAACTGAATTTCAATCGTGTAAATTTATCTAACGTTAAAAACCAATAGACTGACCGAGGATTACACCTTTTGTTTACTTTGGTAAAATCAACAATGAGTCATAATAAAGGAATAAAATTGATTTGGATTGCACTTAAATCCCGATAGGTTTTATACGTGTATGAAATTTAAGAAAACTTGAGTCATTTCCACTTGACTTCTCAAAACTGGTTCCTCTGAATTTCATTCGAAAATGTCATTTGAACTGAAGATTTTTCTGGACATACAAAATTCGTGCAGATTATTTTATGTAATAAAGACGCAAGAAAAACTGAGCTGGAAATTTTTTTTTGCAAAAAAATATAAACGTGAGTGTTAATTTCTTGTTGTTGGTTCTGAGTAGAAATTAGTCGTCGTCGCCGTCACTGATGTTACCACTGTTGTTACCGCTGCTTGTGCTGCTGCCACCACCGCCACCGCCGTTGTTGTTAATGTTTTGTTGTTTCTCCTGATTAACCAATTTGGCGTGAAATCCGTCTCGTTTTGCATACATTTATGCTTTTATTTACATTATTTTGTGATAGCATATCCTTTTTTTTCATACTTTAGATTACTTCTCCACTTCTTATTGTTTGATTTATGCCATTTGATAATAAACCAGGGTTTTTTATCATTTTTCATTGCCTCGTAAAATAAGTGTGTAAATATGGGCACATATTTGCATCATGATGCCTGGACTATAACAGCCGTTCCCAAAATAACAAAACCGAGCTATTCGGTGTCTTTTATAACAATATTCAATACGATATTTTAATTTCTATCAAGCCTTTTCAAATCCATATCACTTAAATACCAGACGACATGTAAGTAAAAATGTAAACAGCAGGTCGTTTTGCTCTTGTGTTTTTTTTGCACTCTGTTATAAATGTTATAAATATGTTAACCTATTTTATACGCCTCAACGAATAAATTTTTAATGTAACCGACTTGTTACCGACTTAGTCACTTTATCTTTTACTTTAATGCATGCTCAGCATTTTATCATTTTTCTTATTTTATAAGATTTAAAAAAGAAAGAGATCACGAGAAGCGTGCGCAGATTAATACATGCTCACTGTGTTATTTGTCAGTTTATTGACTGTGAAAAAAACAAACAATACTTTCTTATTAAAAGAGAGAAAAGTTTGTTGAAATGTATATTGTACTAACCACAATACTTTCTTTTCACTAATTTTTATACGCTTTCTTTTTGTGTCATTATAAATTCGTGATCATTCGGCATATTTCGTAACTTTCCGTGCGCTTAAAGGTCCAATAAGCGTCAGCTTGACCAGGATCAGTATTCATCTTGTCAGTGTCAGCCAAACGTTTACTATTAAAACAGACATAAATGGCGTAAAGTAAAATTCATGTTATTCTATAAACTTTATCCAACCTTTAATACGATGAAATATCATGTACTAACATTTGAAGTAACAGTTTTCGTGCGCAAAAAATAAAGAGAAATGTCATATTTTTAAAGGCACGTTTATACAAAAATTAGACTTTGTGTAGTAGGTAAAACTTGACACGAACTGAATTATATTAAATTAAGTTTGAGCATATATTTTTTTTTAAATTAACAGCTTGGTTAAAGCACTGGAATTTAGAATTTTGGGTATATGTGTCTTTGATGTATTTCATTTATCAGTTGGTGTATATAACGATCGAAATCTGTAAAAAAAATAATCCAATTGGAATTTTATACATTTTACAGTAATAATGTTTAATCATATTTTATTGCTAAGCAATAAAAGATAAACAGACGCAGACACTTATTGTCATTATCTGAAACAATCATGACTAATTAAGATAAAGAGTGAATAGTTATTGTCGCAGCTAAATCGTGTTTTATACCAATATAGATTAAAGTCATACCTTTATTAAGGGTAAATATAATTTTGAATCATGTTGGTTAATAAAAATTAATTGGAAAAAAGACACCGACTTAGTTAATATCATGACTTGAAGTAAAACGTGGAAAAATATCATATTTTTTAGAATTTGATTAAAAATGAGATGTGCGTACTTTTTGGTATATGAAGTAATTTACGATCATTGAGTGGTATATTTAAAATATACGAGCATTACTTGAGAAACTCAGAGTGATCCGAGTCACATGAAAAAGAAACCACCTCTATAATAATAATAATAATAATAATAATTATAATAATAATAATAATAATAATTATTATTATTATTATTATTATTATTATTATTATTATTATTATTATTATTATTATTATAAACGTGTTATTGATAGTTTTATTATGTATAATATGTTCAGAAAGAAAAACATATGAGCAAGTTCTTATCAAAAACAAGCCCTACCTAGTTTTTTTGGAAACATTTAAAACATCATTCACCCGCGCTCCTTTGCAACGCCTATCACCCCCCCCCCCTCCATCCGTCATTGATTCCATATAAAATTTGATATTGGATAAAAATTCATAGTCGAGTCTATAACACAAACTTGTGTATGCGTAGCACATTTAAAAGATTTAACGTTATAAAAAATAAAAGGTGTCAGCTACTGCATGATTTATTGTGTTCGTGTTACGGAATATATTTAATTTGTATACTTGTTGACTATCCTATATTGTTTTGGTAAATTTGATATTTTTTAGCCTGGATATTATACAAGTACATGTATAACTCAACATCACGTGAAGTAGGTTCGTGATCTTATGATGATAAATAGACAAAGAATCTTTTATTAAAAAGGAATTCTGTATATAACAATAATAAATATTCGCGGAATACGCACCCAGTTTTGTTGCACGATTTCTCATACCTTATCGCATTGCAGACGCATTTTCATGACTCAAAATCTATGGTGTACAGAATGGGTCTTTATTAATATATCAATTCCCATCGTATTTTTGTCTAGACTGATTGACAAAAGAAAGAAACAGAAAGGAGGGGTAAAAGAAATAGATTTCAAGGACGGAGGTAATGCAAGGAAATCAAGGCCATCCTGGGATGGCGGGACATTCGGGCCATGACAGTTTGGCAGGAAATTCGGGTCACACTGATATGACGGGACACTCCGACCACAATGCTGTAATGTACAGCCATAATAGGGTAGGTTTTAAATGATCTTAATTAAATATACATTCAGAATAACTATGCCTTTATGAAAAAAAATATAATGAAAATAGAATTGTAAAAACGACTTACTATTGATATTCCTTATTTACATTATTTTTTTATCACGTGACTATTGTATAGTTATTACATGTATATCGTTAAAAAAATGATACGATATGTTTTCTATGGTTTTTCAATTCCCGCATTCAGTCAGTATGTTTTTAATGTATCTGTATCTATTTTTATCTTTTGACAGTTTTTACAGATGCACACATCTGCCAGATTGATTGTTGAAGAGTGGAGCTCTGAATCGATATACGGTTAGTTTGTGCACATTTTCTTATTATTTTAATTAATAACCATCAGCCTCGGTATTTGTCGGTAAACTCCGTGAATATTCGTAAATGCGTAAAATGCTGACAATTCATAGAAAATATTACAGAATCTTCCAGTATTACTCAACAAAGTCCGATGTTTATTTGTGTAATATCCAAAAAGTAATTATCTGCCAGACATGTTTCATTAATAATTCAAACCACAGAGATGTTTTATTTCTTGCAGTTTTGTGAGGTATCTATATCATTGCAATTACCATCATCTTCTATTAGCGGAGTTTGCAAGAAATCGATATTTTAGCTTGCCCTTTAAACTTTTTGTGTTAACTTTTCAGATATAAATGAAATTTATAAATGTCATATTGTGACGTTCATGTGCGCGTTTACTGTGTGCACACGCATAACGTACACTTTAAATTCAATTTAAAGGGACTCCACCGAGTTTTTTATTCCTCGAGATTAATGTCCCATTTGATGTAGGACAAGACGTGCAAAATTTCAGATCATTCGCTCACTCGTTTTCCAGAATGAATATTCTAATTATGAAGAAAGACCAATAATTGAAAAGTGTTCCAAGGTTTTTTACTGAAAACTCGGGCTAAAAATAACACAAACATATGATTTTTAATTCATTTCTGTATACATCATTTTATTATCTTTTGCATATATGTGTGTTTAAAGTGCCCCCGTTGATCTGTGTAAGAAATTCAAATTTTATATTTTAGGGTTTTGGTCATCAATGTACTTTTGTGTGCATTACGTCTATTCTTTGCAGGC